CCCCAAAACCCCAAAACCCCAAAACCCCTTATTTAAATGCCAACATTGCTTTATTATTTATCAATTATCTCATAAAATGAGCAACGTAAAGACCACAAATTGGCTCAGAAAGTCTTTCTCATGCTTGAACTCTTGGGTAAAAGCAACCGACAAGTTTGGTGTGCCAGTCAGTCTTAACTTCAAAGGGGAAGACTCTTTTAAGACAACAGTTGGAGGCATATTCTCCTTGATCTCTATGCTCCTCCTGATGATGTACACTATTTTAGAAATGAGGCTAGTAATCACAAAAGGGAAGACAAGCATCAATAGCAACATTGTTTCTAGAAACTTATTTGAAAGCAAAGAGACTTATCAAATTGCGAAAGATGGCTTTATGATAAGTATGGGTGGAAATACAGCTACACTTGAGGATCCAACTTATTTTAACTTTCAATACAAGAACAGAATTATTGAGAACGAGCTTATCGGGGGACCTAAAATCAGATATGAAGATGTTGAATACTCTACAACTCTTTGTGGTGATAAATTTGATCAGTTTATTGACAAAGAGACTGCAACAAGATTAAGCATGCACTTGACTCTTTGCCCTAATTCAAGTGATTGGAGAATTGGAGGATCCCGGACAGGGTATCAGTTTAGTGCATTCATTGGAACAATTAAAAGATGCTCAAGTAATTTATCAGGATTTTGCAAATCTGAAAACGAAATCAATGATAAAATAAATTCTCAAAAATTTTTCGTGGCAATATCGAATTACTACTTCGATGTTGAAGATTATGATAACCCAGTGAATGTTACATTTGAAGATGAGTTTAATTACTCTCTTATCAAAGAAATGACTGTTGAAAAGACTCTAAGGGTAAGAATAAATAAAGCATATGATTACACCAACATATGGTATCCTTCCAATCCCAAAGAGTATACGTATTACTCCATAGAGTCTGTGAAAGATGATCTTCAAGCAGAGGATGGAAGTGGAGACCTTGCCAGAATCAATATAATTTTGGACAAGAACTATAAAATTGTTGAACGCAAAGTCTATACTTTTTATGACATGCTAGGACAAGTTGGAGGAGTTATGGGCATTATATACTCTCTTGGCTCTGTTTGAGTGAACATCTTCTCTGGAAAAATATATATCATGACATTGCTATCATACTTTTATAAAGTGGAAAGAAGGCCTGATACCCAAAAAGTAGCACCTTTACAAAAAATCAGTCCTCAAAAGCTCAATTCTTTTCATGAAAATTTGAGCAAAAATGAAATTAAAGAAGAAGACAAGTTTGATGATTCTGAATGTAACATCAAGGGTAGGACTTATGAAGACATCAACCTAAATAAAATATCTCAGCTTAAACACAAGCTGACTTCACTGCAATTCTATAAATATTCTTGCTTAGATCTGTTCTACACCATTTTCTGTTGCTCAAAATTCAGACGGAAGAGGTCCAAGGAGACATCTTTGTACAAACAATATAAAGATTATACTTGAGGAAGAGAGAAGATTACTCAAGAGCTTGACTTGATTTCAATCATTGACACGATGAGAACAGTTCATGTCCTTTCAAATATTATTCTTGACAAGAATAAATAAAGTTCTTGTTCAAAACCAACCGGTAAACATATGATCCAATACCAAGAAGAATATAAAATCAGATTATCCTAAAAATGAAGAGAAAATAGAACAAGAGAAGAATATTGAAAGCCAGTTGGAGGAACTTAAGAATTTAGAAGAAGAATTATGGGAAGATCCTATCTCTCAGGAACTATTCGATAACATAATCCAAACACATGAAGTCTGAGAAACACGAAATACTGCCAAAAATAAGCACTTAAAGAACTTAATATCTGAAGATTTCCAGTTACGGAAAGAATCATAATATTTCCTCATTGCTTCAAAATAATTTTTTAATCCAATTTTATAAAATTAACCCGGGGTTTTGGGGTTTTGGGGTTTTGGGGAGAT